TGTGGGAGTAGACAAGGTAATGGGTTCTTTAAGCATAGAGACACTTTATGTTTCAGCAGAGGACTTGCAAGTGCTTTCAGAAGTTTGTGTCGGGTCGATGATAAATTTTTCCATCTAACACACAAATTAACCTAAAAAGTGGATAACATATGATTGAGACTAAGCGTAGAGATTAACCTAAAAACAGATAACATATATTTCTCAGAACTCAATCATCATAAAAAAAAACATAAAATAAAAAACAAAAAACAAAAAAAAATACAAAATAATCAACATAATTGCTTTAAAAAATACCAATACATACGTTCAAGTTTTATTTTTAGCTCCCTAGATTTATACTCTCATCTACATCTTCATGCTAATACAAAACACTCAGGATAATTGCTTAAACCGGCCCATCTCTGCCTATAAACCGGCTCAGATTAATTTATTTTATCAGCTAATTTTGTGCCCAAAAAATCAAATTACAAAGTTGCTAACCAGAGAAAAGCCGTTTTCTTTTCCTTCGATTTCAAAATTTTCCCCATTTCTCCCACCAATCAAACCAGAGAGCCAAAGAAAATAATCAAATTCAGCTGCAATGGAAGAAGGAACTTACCTGATGACTTAATAGGATCTCCGTTGGGATGACCTATGCCACAGGAGGTAGCTGAAAGGTCACAACTGTCTGGGATCTTTTCGATTCGGAGTCGGACTATATATTTGTCACCGCCGTGAGCTCCAGGGCAACTGGAACCAAAAATGACATCAAGTGAAAAAGAAGCATTAACCAAAAACGACATCAACCAAAAATGAAATCAAACAAACAGACCCATTTCTGTTTGGTTTGCTCTGATTCAAAAATAAATCAAAAAACAAAATAAAAAAATCTGGAAGAAGAAGAGGAACAAAGGTTTACGATGAATGGCGAGGAACGGCGAGTGTGAGGAACGGCGAGAGACTGCGGAACGGCGAGTGTGAGGAATGGCGAGAGACTGAGGAACGGTGAGAGACTGAGGAACGGTGAGAGACTGAGAAGAAAAATATGATCGGATAATGATGAATGACGAGTGTGAGGATGAAGGATTTAGGATATGATCGGATAATGATGAATGACGAGTGTGAGGATGAAGGATTTAGGGTGAAGTGGAATGGAGAATGAGAAGGAGGAGGCGAGGCGTGCGTGAGTGAAGTGAGGTGAGAGGCGAGAGGTGAGAGGAGATGAGGGAGGTGAGAGACTGAGGAGGGATTTAGGGTTACAGGCTTACAGCACGCCTGGCCTGGGGTAAGTGGAAAACGGCTGGGTCGGGGCATTGCGGGTTCAAGAATGCCAGACCCGCCCCCAACCCGCACAGTGCGGGTTGGGACTATTTGAATCTGAAATTTTTGTTTTTTTTTAAAAAAAAACCTATGTATTCAGATCGGGTCAGTTGGGTTTTTCGGGTTCGGACTCAATTCTTACACCCCTAATATTAAGTGTGTGGTGTACCAGCTGCCTGTAGATAAAGCCTGTGGTTGTCAAGAAATTACAGACTTATTCAGTTATATTTTTAAGTTATGATGATTTGAATATAGATTTTAGATTGAATTTGAGTTATAATTTGAATTGAAGTTGTAACTTCAGTTTGTATTTAGTTGTGTATATTTAAATTATGGTTTGAGATGAGAATCTTTTTAAATTTGTATTTGGGTGGTTCAAAACTTGAGTTTGTATTTAGATAGTATTTTAATAAAAACTCAATGATGATGAAAAATTTTAATAGGGTATATAGATGGAGTTTTATTCGTCTTTATATTTTGAATGCATAAAAAAAGATTCATCTCAATCGGAATTAAAACGAAAAAGTTATAGCGTTTTTAATAATAGAAAAAATATTGTTCATTAACTTGAATTTGAGTTTAAAAACTTGAGTGGAAGGGGAAACTTGAACTCAAGTTTTACAAAAGAACATGAACTTGAATAAAGTTGTAACTTGAGTTCAAACTTTTTTTGAGTTTTGGTGCAAACGAACAAGCCTTACAACTTCACAGCAAACTCAAGGGTGTTTTAGGCCTTGTTTGGTTTTCCGTTCAAATTATAAGATTTTATTTGAATTGTGATTTAAACTGCTGTTGGAATACACAAATAAATTGTCATTTGAATTAGGAATAAAATATGAATTGTGGTTGGATAAAGTATTGAAAACTGTCATTAGAGTTTTGTAACAATTCTTATAAAATCTCATTATAAATTACATTAAAATTATGATTATGAATGAGGATTTCGTCCTTTCTTCATTATGAGCACAATGAAAGAAAATCATCTCAATCAAGATTGAAACAAAGAAGTTATGACATTTTTTATCTTAAGTTGAAGAGAGATAAAAGGTAAAATCCAAATTATTTTCACTGTAGAAAAAAAAAATCGGATTGTGAATTGAGGAGGATGTGTCAATTTTAAAATCAAGGGTTTAAATCATTTTTAATAGTTTGAATTACCCTCATTTAGTTCTCTATCAAACATCAAGGATCCGATCACGATTACAGAAAACATAAAAGCAAGAATCACTAAACAAGGACTATTACCTTCCAAAAAAGAAAAAACTAGGACTATTGAAAGAGGCCAAATTTCGTTCCTCATGTCTCATCATATACGTGTCAACACACGCCTCGAAGAATAGGGATTAATCGCGCTAAATCGAAAGTCAAAACGAGTTGCAAGCCGTCGACAGCTCGTGAGTCCTAGCGCTGTCCAAACGACCAGTCCAGCAGCTCGCTAGGCAAGTCCTCAAACAATGCTGCCAACTCAACATCCGAAGATCAACACGTAGATCTCCTTCCCAACATATATCTTCAGCATTAATCTATGATATATTACCCAATATAGCAAAAGGGAAAGTCAAACATCATCCTAGCTTGCTCCCTAAGCATTCTCTTTACATAGAAAGTCTCTTATAGAATCTTCTGTTAAAAGTCAAACAGGAAACTTACCAAAATAATATTTTGAGCCATCAAGGCCTATGAAATCAGATCATGATGTCTACGAGAGGGGTTCACGCATGGCGCATTTCTAGACAGATTTTCTCATTTTTTTCATTATTTTTCTCATCTAATTCTCCCGACATTTATAGAGAATAGTTTTGTAATCTTCATCAACGATTATAGTGGAAGATCTAGAGACACTTACCGTGGACGTACCCTGAATTATCAGAAAAACCACTATAAATTTTTGTGTCTAGTTCTTTTTTATTTTTGTGTCTATTTATTTTTACCGCGATCACCATACTACCGCCTTAATCATCTGAATTCAGTCATTGACCTCCTAACAAATCTAATTGTAGAATTTCACCCTCTACATACAACAAAGGGTTTCATTTTTCCCGATAAAAAAAATAACCTACTTAAATTTAAAATAAGTTTTTTAAATTAACATTGATTACGTTATTTAAATATAGTATGTATTCTCATAGAGATAAATTCTCATCACTCATAAAATAATAGGTCTTATTATGTTGGATTCCACCTGTACATTTAGACAGAATCCACCTTCCATGCATGAATAGATGGGGTTTTAACCCGTGAGAATAAATGAGTGCATGTCATCTTCTGATATTATTTGCCGATCAAATTATCAATGACCAGAGACTAAGCATCAAGCTTTATACAAATTCTTCCAACGAAATAAATCTGATGCGCTGCGACTCACCATAACTATTATGTTCTCACAGATAAATTCAGCATCTGTGAGAACATGTATCACATATATCGCAAGAATTACCTATCATAGAAAAAAAATTAACGCGATATAAAATCCAGTGATCTTGTATCATATATGTGAAACATGTGGGCCGCTTAAAAATAAAATAAAAAATAAAAAATGCCCCTTCTTTGCTACGTACAAATTTTCACTTGTATATGGGATATCTGTTATCTGTTATTACATCCAAATGACAGACATATCTTTGTAACATGGATTTGCACCTTTCACCAAAATGCCCTAGGAAGTAATTATTGTAGGTTTTTTTTTTTCTATTTATTATGTTTATTATTTTTATTTTTTTAATATTTTATCTGTGTAATAATTATCACCGTAGTTTTTGTGCTCTTGAAAAGTGTGAGGAGAACGGAGAGATTCTATGTAGATTGCTGCCGCCAGCAAGATTTTTGGGCAGATATCTTTGTCATCCATATTTTATCATGATATTGAAGGAGCTTGTCTCTCATTATTTTATTTTTATCCTAGTGCATAATTAAATATTGCGATGACATTATTCTTATCCCGGCGGGTACCTCCTAATATCATATGGGGTGAGGTATGGAGGTATAAATTAGCCTCCAATTTAAAAGCATATGCGGAGGGAAAGTTCCCCTATTTCCATGCCGTCCCGATTACATATACTCTTGCGTATGTTCGAGTTTAGATTTAGTTTTAAGATTTTAGTTTATTATTGTTAGAATTTAAATTTGGCATTAAGATTTCAATTTATTTTATGATATATTAGTAATTATATTGTTGAATTTTCTAATAAATTTAATGGAATTTTCTCAATGTTATAAGTATTTTTTGAACTCTTAATCAATGAATGGGTAGGGTAATGGAATAGTTCTTTCAGTCACAATTTCTCCACCCTAATTCTGCCTTAAATTAGATGGGTATGTAGACGGGTACAAGGAACAAAATAAGAGTAGAGTATACTCTAACTCCGCTTTAAATTAAATGAGTATGTAGACATGTACAAGGAACAGAATAAGAGTAGGATATGAAATTGCAGGAAGCATACTCACCCTGCCCAACCCTACTATCCGTAATTGGATTTGTGATTTATTTATCTTTTTATGAACCCTCCTCTCATTGGAAAAATTATAACTATACCTCCACTTTTTAATAATAAAACAATTATACCTCTATTCAATTAAAATTCTCTCTTAAATTTTCCATATTGTACCCCCAATGAATAACTTTACTAGCTCCATCACCGAGGGTTTGCTAACTTCATAATAAAAACTTTTAGTTACATCACAATTCAACAAAAATTCTCTCTTATAATTATACATATATTAGGCCTGTACAATATTATATATTTTCATATTATGCTTTAGTATGGAGCATATGCTACACCGAGACTGGTATGAAAGCTCCATGAAATCCATACGGCACTCTGCATGGCAAAGTAATTTTGAAAATTGGTTCGTGGGAAAACTTTTTTGTGTCAATCACGTAAACCTGCAAATAATTAAGAATAATAGACATGATCTTTCCAATCATAGAGAAGATAAATATTAAAGAAAATCACAAATTAAGTTAAATTTAAATTTAATAAACGTTAGTACATTACCTGAGATATATTGGTGTCTTCATCGTGAACAAAAGTGATTATCCAACCATCATCTTCTTCAAGACCACCCTTTTTGGGGACAAAAGCGGCTCCACTACAAAACGTGTTCTCCTCAAACATATGGTATTCCACTTTTATTACCTCCTCATCAATTTCTCTTGTCGTCTACAAAGATCATCAAGGAAGGACATATATAATTACTAGCCAGAAAAATAATGTGAAGTATGGATCAATTAACGAGAAACAGAAAAAGTTGTAAGAGAAAAAATAATAAGGTTTAGGGAAGGTCATATTTACCGAAGAAACTTTTTTGTCTAGCTTCTCAAAGTGCAACTTTGCTAGACCTCCAAATTTAAACATATTGTCTGCGGTATGAGTCGCATATAATTAGGGAAATATTAATGCATTTTCATAGCACGGGCGGGGCTTTTTTTTTTTTTTTTTTTTTTTTTTTAATCCATACCTATAAGTATGTAATTTATCATACCAATATACATATAGCTCACCAATCATTAAAAATTCAAACTTCTGATCTTATTATTGTTATTATTATTTGAATTAATAACCCACAGATGAAGTTCCTAACTCCGTCACTGTGACCATATGCATAAAAATTAATAAGAAATAATAACAAGGATAGAAAGACAAGTAATACACCTGCGTTAGAGCTGGGCACAAAGTCAAAAACTTGGGAATACCCAAATTTGTTCTTCAAACCGATAAAATTTGCATTTATTAGAGGAACTTCCATGGAAAACTCTGCATCGGCTGTGAGATTTCTCTCCACGACTTCTCCAGTTTGCATGTTTAATTTCCATTCATAAGGTCGACTATGTACCAACCCGTCTTTGACTGTATTATCAAAAGGCAGGACTGATTCCAGAGCTCTACAACCCCACACCACAACCTACTCATTGTCATGTAATTAAGTTAACATTTTGAGAAATTTACATTTTTTTTTACAAGATTATTAAAAAATTTAAACCTTACAGTTTAGACTCTTATAACTTCTATGCCTTTAGATTGTCAAGTTATGCTCAATCTATATTATTTTTCTGTCAATTGTCTATTTTGACCTACGATATTCTGAGAATACACTTAATAAAAAATCATCATTTTGGTTTGGTTACAGGGAAAGAAGTAATACGTTATTAATGAGAAAAAATATTCTCAAAATTTCACATGCATGTCAAATTATACTACGGGTGGGCAATTCGTATTAATGGGTCGTGTTCGTTTATGTCAACCTATTTATTAAACGTGTTAAAAAATCCAATCTAACAAGACTCATTTATTAATCGTGTTAATCTTATTAAACCTGCATAATCTATTTAGATTAATATATTAAATAAATAATTGATATAATTATGATTTATTTAACATGATCATGACACATTTAATAATTTTATTAGTCTATTTATCTTTTCTTTGAAAAGAAACAAGTAAAATTTATCTATAAATTTTAAAAATTTACATTATTTGTATTTTGTACGTTATATAAACTTTTATGTAATATCATACGTAATAATTTTACATATGACCCATATAATTAATTGTGTAATTAATTTGGGTCACTTCATATTAAAAGATCAACTCTAACCCAACCTAGTTATTATAATATTGTTAATCGTAACAACTCGATTATAACTCAAATTCATTTATAGTAAACACAAGATCACTAACTTCATGTTGGTTTCGAATCGTGTTTTCGTATTATCGTGTCATGACCCGAATTGCTATCCAATATCCCCTTAATTTAACAATTGATTAAGGAGCGGTATAAATTAAGGAAGAAATCTAAAAAAATATCCTCTCAGTTTTGACCTAAATAAAACTTTTACTCTTAAGTATAAAAGCGCAACAGTCTAAAGTAGAAGATATAATTATTAACCTTGAAATGCAAGACATAAATATGTAAATGGAACCACATTATGTCAGAATAAGTACATATGATAAAGTTATACCTTGTCGTCTCCATCTTCAAAACAATTAAATATGTGAAATGTGCAATTTGGTTCAACTTTAAACCATTTGATTGAATCTCCATCTCCATAACGAGGCATAACCCCAATTCTTGCATATCCTTTATTGTCGTACTTAATCAATCTACACATTACCAAAACCATTAATTACAGAGTAAAGCTTTTTAAGCTGTTTGATGGGGGCAAACTAGATTAATATAAGAATGCGGGGTTTGTAGTGCATGCATTAACTAAATTTAAGTACTCACGGGCCTCCCTGGAAAAGTCTCATTATGTCTATAGTAACAGGAAAATCTATCAACACATTGTACCTGCACGCAAATAATCCATTTAAGTTTTTTTATTTTTAATTTTTTCAATTGTAAGTGAGCAATAAATGGATGCTAATTTATAACCTCCTAGTTACCTCTGTGTAACCCCAAAATCATGACAAAATGGACACCGGTCGAGTTTGAGATCAGCTCTATGAACTAATTTCTTTCCATCAGCTGAAAATTTGGAAACACAATAACATATTAGAATGTTCAGAAATTTTTTACGGGTATTAGAGTAGTTATAATTTGCTATAGCGGGCCGTTCTTTTTATATGTTTGAACTATAATTGAAACTTTTTTACTATAATAATTTTTCTCATAAAAATTTAAAATTTTACTTAAATTTTGTGTTCAACTAATCTATGAAAAACGTAATCCTCAAAATAGATTTTGGATAGTTTTGTACCAGAAATTACTCCTAACTCAATATAAGGACGTTTAATTGCATCCATTCCAATTATAACTAGCTCCCCGGTGCCTGGAACTACCTGTAGCATTTAAGGAAGATGACCACAAAAATTTAGGAAAGAGCATTCCTATTCATTTCTATGGGGTTAAAATCCCATTACTCTGATAACATGAGTCCCGTTAAGTGGGTACATAGGTGAGATCCAACCTAATAGGATCCACCATTTTGTAAGTGACAGGGTTTTATCTCTCTGAAGATGAAAACCATATTTGTTTAGTGAAACCCAAAGAACAAAATTTGCTTGAGCAGATTCAACGTGCCAAAGCGTACTACAGAATGAAGGAGAAGTAATTAAGTACCTTTGGATGGCTTGTAAAGGGTCTATTCCAAGCTCTGGAAAGATTCCAATGCCCTAAAGTTTCTAATGTAAAAACGTCAATCTCTTGAGGCATGTGAGATTCTGCAATGGAATATAACTTCCCTGAATGCTCAAACACATTGGTGTTGCTAACGTGTTTGTCTATTTTGCCAAATCGGAGCTGATCGTGAAGAAAACATCAGATAAATAATATAATATGGGTTTCCTATATATATGTACATGTTGCGTTCATGGAAGCGTATTATATATATATATATATATATGCATGGAGAAAAATACTAAAGACCTTTGTAAAAATAATTACATAGGAAAATTTTATTAGTAAAATAACTTTTTAAAAATTTTTATTTACAAAATGATTACATAATATATATATATGCGCATGGAGAAAAATACAAAAACCCTTTGTAAAAATAACTCCATAGGAAAATTTTATTAGTAAAATAACTTTTTAAAAATTTTTATTTGTAAAATGACTACAAAACGACTACTTTTTACAAAAAAACGATTAGGTGGTCGTTCTTCATATAAAATAAAGAATGTCATTTTGTCAATTTTACTTTTGTTGGATAATCATTCTAACATATTTCTCCTTTGAAAAAGTAAATTCTTCTACCGGAGATGAAGAAGTAATTAAATGAAGACTTTTTTCGCATTCTGAACTTCTCGATCATTAGCAATGTGTCTTTACGAAAATATTTTTGATAATTAATCTCGAGAATTCAGAAATGCACGGCAAAAACAACTCAATTAATAATGCTCTTGATTTTTTGACCGAAATTGACACCATGTGACTTGCACATTGATTCAATGGTCAGTTTCACACGTGTATATATATTTATATATATATATATATATATTTTTTTTTTTTTTTTGAAAGGTCAATTTCATATATTTTAACTCAAACTTATTTGTAAAACCTCAAATTGCTTAAAAGTTTTTTCTATCTTGATAAAGATAATTAAAAATCCTGGCCTTAAATGTTTGGAATTTTAACTTTCAAATTTCTATCTCTCCCAATTGTAATGGCAACCTTAACTCACCACCTATGCAAACGCACACCTTGATTAAACACAGTTATGAATGGGGTGTTTCTGTCATGTATTTCTAAATTCAAGGGATTAATTATCAAATTTATAAATGGGAACATTGCGAATGAACAAGAAGTTTAGGGGCAATTGTGTAGATAAATAAATAACTCACAAAATTGAACAGAGCGGCTGATATGACGGCCAGTGTATCGCCTTCAATGATGGGAATAAAAGACGGCTTGTTCTTTTGCTTTTCTTGCTTGAAAGTTTCAGTTTCAACGTAGCTGTTATTGTAATTGACAGTCCATTTACAATTACCGTCTTTTTTGGTAAAATACAAAGCATGTAGCATCCCTTCTCCCTCTATCCAAATTTGCTTTGATTTTCCAAACGCTGATTTTGTTGATTTTAATCCTCCAAAAAGAGGATTTGCTCCTATAATTGATCACAATACAACATCGCAGTAACGATTAGGAAATACCTTTTTTTTTGGTTGGTTGGTAGTACTATTTTCGTCATCATCAGAATAACATTTAGAGATGTGTTGGCTTTAACCAATCAATTACAAGTCAGTCAATCTCTAAATATTCTTTGTCCTTCATTCTCAAGTGATCCTTAGGTTAGAGATTCGAACCTCTACATCAAAACTATTTTTTTTAATAGCGTAGAAAGTGATCGGTCGGTTTGATTTAATTAACCGATTACTATGGCTGCCAAAACCAAAACCGAACAGTCCATTATGCATGGGTGGCCGGTTAACCGACCGATTAAGTCCGTTTGGTGACTGAATTTTTGGTTTTTTTCTGTCAATTTAACAGTTTAGTGACGGTTTTCAGTTTCTGAACACTCTTATACTATATATCCTTTTAATTTTTTTATTGAAAATATTTGTTATTATTACAATTATAAGAAATATAAAAGCAAGTAATACAAAAGAGCAGTTTTAAACTTATTCTTTTCAAATACGAAACATAGCTTATAGAAGCGGAAGTGGTACTCTTGAGAAAAAATGTCTTCACATAAGTGACTTTTTTTTTTTTTTTGGTTGAATACTAAGTGACTTAATTATACTAATTCACTATACGAATACATGAATTATATTTTTTTTTGAGAAATTAAAGAATAAATTTATCTTAATCCCCTCCCTTATCCAACATATATATATATACACACCAAACACAGCACACAAAGAATACTCACCGTTTCTTATGTAGACTCCCTCTGGAAAATCGTCAGGAATGATCCCTTGAATGGTGGTGATACCAGCCGGTCCTCCCAGCTCCTCAACCGGTGCAAAGTTTGTCTGCAAGTAATTTAATTGCATATCTAATTTGAGACAGACTAAGAAGTTTATTTATTTAAGAATAACACAAACTTATTATACGTAGCTAAAAGGACTTGAGATCATTTACGATCGATGTGCTAAAGTGGGGTCCACTGACTAAAAGTAATGATAAATAATTATTGAAAAATGATATTTATCTCGACATGATAAATCCACATCACTGAAAAAAATAAATCCCACTAATTTTGGTTCCTCCTATTCATCCAATGGGATCCGTCTTTCGTGAGTAGATGCGTTATAACTCTATCGCAATAAATAAACAGAGGTGCTCATAATTATTACATACCTGGGATGGATGCAGTGGTATATCAACAAATTCAAACGCCAAATCAACAATGGCATCCAACGTTTTGGTCGTAGCATTCTTGATGGTTTTGGAGACGTGATGTGGCATTACTTTCAACCATTGTAGCTGCTCATTGTTTACATATTGCGCGCATGATAAGACAGTTTACATAAAGTTGTAATATCAAATAAGTCAATTAAATTAACAACTAATGGCTAAATTAATGTTGTGATCAGTGCTGAACTTTCGGGCGGCGGGCATGCCCGATGCCCGAAAATTTTTGGGCATTTCGGGCAGGCCACTCTCGCCGCCCGACAACGGTTTTCTTCGGGCACGGGCTCGGGTAGCCTAAAAATATTAATCCCCCCGACAGCCCGCCGCCGTGGAGAAGCCGTCCCCCGCCATTCGCCGGATTTTTTTAAAATTTTCCGGCAATACCCGAACTGCCCGAATTTCTGTGACCGTTGCCCGAATTTTTGTGACCGTGACCCGATTTTTGCCCGGTGCCCGAAAAATGCCCAATTTTTTTTTTACCGTTAGCCCGAAAAAAAATGCCCGAATTTTGAAAAAATGGGTCTTTTTGCCCGAACCGGACCCGAACCAGAATTTTGCCCGAATTTTTGAACCAAACGGTCAGATTTTATACCGTTGCCCGACCTGCCCGATTTTTGCCCGAATTGCCCGAAAATTTTGTAGCCGTTGGACCCGAATTTTTAGGGGAAATTTTTTTTTTTCAACCCAAAAATTTTCTTATAAATACCCCCCTCTCCCCAACCATTTTTCTCACCCTAAAACTCTCATTCTCTCTCAATTTCTCTTAATCTCTCTCAATTTCTCTTAATCTCTCTAATTCTCTCTTAATCTCGCTTCTCTCTCAAAGCGCTCTCAATCTCTTTTATTTTTCATAATGGCTTCTTCTGGTTATGGTGGTGATATTCCCATTGATGCCCAATTCAACATCGAAGAAGGGCAATTTCCTAATGTTTTTCAAACGCAGGAATCGCAAACTATGGAAAGAGTTGCTGAGAATCGCAAACTATGGAAAGAGATGCTGATCAAACTGTAAATCCGACCCCTGGTGGACGTACTAGAGGTCGGGGATGCAATGGTGGTGGCACAAGTGGCCGTGGAGGAGAGGCAAGCGGTAGTGCTAGTGCAAGTGTTGCAAGTTCTAAGAAGACATGTAAGCGCATCTCAGCAGTTTGGGAGCACTTCAACACATTCGAGGACGTCGACAATAACGGTAACATTAAATACGTAGCTCAATGTAAATATTATGGTGAGAAATTACAAGGTAACACTATTCACGGCACTACACACTTAAGAAGGCACTCTAAAAAGTGTTTTCAAAAGCAAGGAGGCGGAGCTAATCTCCGTCAAACGCAATTATCATTTGACCGCCAAACCGGCGGTCTAAGCACGTGGAAATACGATCCGTAAGTTGATCGTATGGAAATGGCACGATTAATAGCCACATTAGATCAACCACTAAGTTTTCCTGAACAAAGAAATTGGCAACGTTATATTAAAATTGTACATAATCCTAATGCACAATTTTTTTCTAGAACTACTCTTAGGAAAGATGCATTAAAATTATATAAACAAGAAAAGGAAGCATTAATCAACCTTCTACACTCTACTAGTGGTTGTGTTGCGTTAACGGCGGATATTTGGTCCGCCGTTGCCAACAAGGATTATTTAGCTGTAACCAGACATTATTATAAAGGTTTTAATTTGGATAAGAGAATCTTAGGTTTCAAATGTGTTATAGGATCACATACTGCCAATTTAGTATATAACACAATTTTATCTGTTATTGATGAATATAGTTTAAGAGAGAATAATGGCCATAACATTAGATAATGCAACTGCGAATACTAAAGCAATAGAACTTTTTCAAAATGATTTAAGTTTATTCGGTAATAATGATATTTTCCACCAACGTTGTGCATGTCATATAATTAATTTAATAGTAAAATCCGGTTTAAAATCAATGTCAGGTCATATTAAAAGAATTAGAGATAACATTGCTTGGATTCAAGGTAGTAATCAAAGAATACAAGATTGGTTTAGATTTCTACAAGCATGTAATCAAAATCCTAGAGCATTAGCCTTAGATATGCCCATAAGATGGAACTCCACTTACATAATGCTTGAACAATGCATCCCCTATAAAGATGCTATAACAAATTATGTTAGTGCAAAATTAGGAACAAGATTTATAGATGAAACTGATTGGCAAATTGCCGAACTTTTGTATAACTTTTTAGGTAGATTTCAAGAAGTTACCTTAAAGTTTAGTGAAACTTATTACCCAACTTCACCATTAGCATTAGGAGAACTTTTAAGAATGTCTATTTTATTTAGTGAATTTAGGACACA